TGCAGCCTCACCAAGGCCGAGTACAAGGGAAAAATGACATCCTAGGATTTGCTTGAGAAGCATGCCAATTAAAATGCACCAGCAGCCTCAGTGTCACATTTATTCAGCATCTCCACACTTCAAAATGGCAGTGATGGCACTTTAACTAAAGCTCATCAAACAAGTTTTAGTTAAAGTGCCCTCCGCTACCATTTTGAAGCATGGGACACTGAATTGATGAGATGCTGTGGATGCTTTAATTACAGCAGGTCCTGCTGTAATTAAAGCACCTCCCCACTGTAGAACACATGTAAAGACGCCCCCAAATAATAACATCTGAGATTCGGTCACCTGCTTCTCTACCAATGTCATATACTGCATCACCTACTCATAGTGATCATCTGCTGTCTGCTTTGGATAGACAGGGTGATCCCTATATGACAGAATGAATGGCCACTGAGCTGATATCATGTCCAGAAATAGACAAAAGCCTGTGGCAAAATATTTTAGCCTCCATGGACGTTCCATCTCTGGCCTTAGAATAGTTGTTTTTGAAAAACAGAATTTTAAAAATTGACTGGAATCCAAAAAAGAAATCATCCACAGGCTGGATTGTGTTAAGTATGGTCTAAACAGGGACTATGGATGATTATCGCATTACCTGGGCTAGCTTTTATGTCCCTATGGTTTTATTGCTTTGTTGTTCTCTCCAGAACCTCTGCCTCTCTCAGCACTGTCCTGTCATTCCTTTTCCACTTTCCCCCTTTCCTGTATTGTGTATTTAAATCACTCCTATTTGATAGTTGCTCTCTACACGTCCTTCCATAGCATCTAATTAAGTGAGCTTATGCATCTTTGATTCATTTGGACTTATCCATTTAGAATGAGTGCCACAACAAGCACACTCCTACAGGATGCTGACATAATTTCGCTGACTGCATTGGAGAGTTCATCTCTGGGCCAGTTGGGTCAAAGCAGTGGAATGCTGGGTGAGTAAAGACCTTGGGACTTGGTATTATTGATAAATGAGAGAAAGAGAGAGCATATGCTTGTACAGTTATGGAATGGTAGCTCTTTATTTCTAAATTATTGTACTTTTTACTGACATAACAATTAGCTTTTGAAAAGAAAAGTCAACAAACAAATCTTTTTGAATTAACGTGATACAGAAAAAGAAAAAAATGAACAATTCATATCATATGTTGTCACAGACATCTGAGTAAAAAATGTAAGTGAAAAGGGAGGAATTCATTGTATAATGTGTAAATTATAATCTTGTGAATTCTTGAATGCATGGTGGATAGTTTCCAGATCCAGAAATCAGGAAAAACAATTAGTATCATTCCAATCTTAGATTTTAGTCTTGACAAACTAATCAGAAAGAGTAATGAGAGATAATTAGCTTTGTTTGTCTGAAGTCAAGCAAAAGAAAATAATGCTATGTGGAGAGTATATGGGGTACATGAGCAGGGAGGCTGCTCTGCACTCTGGAGTGTGGTAATTATCACAATCCAGCCAGCCTCCGGAGTATGATCCAGAGCCACAGCCAGCATCCCTGTGCTTCAAAATGGTGGAAAAGGCACTTTATCTAAAGCTGATTTGACAAGCTTTAGATAAAGTGCCCCTGCTGCCATTTTGAAGCATGGGGATGCCGATATGTGAGACAATCCAGGCACTTTAATTAGAGCAGCTCTTGTAGCAACTGTCATTAAAGCAGGTCCTCCCCCACCTGCCCCACACACACATCCCTGGAGTACATGTAAAAACAACTTATATGTGGGAGTATTGTCCTTAAGAGCAGAAAAGTGGTAATTCATGTATTCTTGTCACTGGTGATGCCTTATGCAAAAATACTTCACACAGCTTTGGGCACCTCATTATAAAAGTAGAGAGAAAAGAGAAAGGAAAGAAAAGCAACCACAGTGAGAAAGATGAAAGACATGAAACATGAGAAACAAGGTGAAAAGGAGACAAACAAGTTAGGACATATAAATGCTCTATATACATACTGTTTGAAAGGAAACAAGATGGAAGAGGAGGAAGACTTGTACAAGGCTGCCAAAGGACATAGTAAAAGAACTGATGCTCTTCACCTAAAATGGAGCAAGTTTAGATTAGGTGCCAGGAAAAGCGTCCTAATGAGAGCTCTTAGTCAATGGAAGCACCTGCCAAGTGAAGCCACAGAGACATCATCAGAGGAAATGCTTAAAGAAAGATTAGATTATATGCTCAGAACACCGTAACAGATAAACGCTTAATACATACAGAGGGGCTGAAGTTGATAACTTCTTCTAGCCCTAACTGCTGAGTCTTTACTTTGGTCTTATCTAATATTTAAAAAAACCTTTTGTGACAAAAAGAGAGAGAAATCTATCGTATGTCACAAAAATTCTAAAATATGAGTTCTTCTGGAATAAAAGCCAATGGTGAAAACTTACTCATTTGGGGACTCTTTAGTTGCACAAATAGTTTCATTGAAATCAATTTATTCTAACCTGTTTCCATAAAAAGCTCTCAGAATAATCCAGAAAATTCTTTCCAAAAACTCAGTCAGAAAATTCTTATGGTATTTGCTAGATCCTGGCTTGAGTTATACAAGTAGGACATTAAACATTTTAGGCTAAGTACAGATAGTCAAAAATCCCAAAGCTGAATCAATTCAAGCTTTACAGATTCGTCTAAATTGTGTAGATTGAACTGATAAGCAAGTGAACAGACATTCACTGTTGAGTCCAGAAATGCAGCCACATGCCTGCAGTGGCTTAGGCCAGAAGTTGGGGGGCACCAAAGCACTCCTTCCTGCTCAGCTGGAGCAGACAGCTTGGACCAAGGCTAGCCCAGCCACACTTCAAGGCAGGATTTGCAGGGCAATGCAAAGCATTGTGGGATGCTGGGGGGCTATGAGTTAACTTGAATCTGAAGGCGATCTGAGACAGAAGTTCAATGAACCAATTTAACCTAAATCAGTTAAGTCTGATACTATATCCATCCAGGTTTATCTTAAACCTGTTTTAGCCATTTTGAAAGCAGTTTATGTGCACTGATCTTGTGTTCTGTTGCAGATTTGAATCAGTTTCTGATCACTTATGCCAATTTATGTGTATTTTCTATCCCTGGCCTTAGAGTTATCTCAAAGGGAAAACTGATTCCCCAGCTCTCCCTCTATCCACACAAAGATCCATGTTTCCCTAAGTTTTTTCATGATTGAGAATTGTGGTAGGAGGATGAAGGACCCTTGTAAGATTCTTATGGCTTGGGAGTAGAAGTTCCACTTGTGGCCTTTGTGGAGAAGGTCTCCCAGTAAACCCCCTTGGGCTAAATAAAGATGTAGCATCCTATTTTTGTCCATTTGTCTTCTGCAGGGCTAGGGACAGAAGTTACACATAAACTGGTTTAAGTAATAAGAAACTGGTTTAAACATGTAACAGAACAGAAGTTCCGTGCACATAAACCAGTTTCGAAATTACCAAAACTGGTTTAAGATAAACCTGCTTGGATGTAGTATCAGGCTTAACTGGGCTGTGGAGCCTCCTTGAGGGGGGGGGGAGGGCTCCCCTAAGGTTGACCAGTATCAAGACAGGGGGCTTCTGAACCCCATGTGGTGGGACAGCAGGGTTTGGGGACATTTGGCTGGGCTAGCAATGGCCAGCAGACCTGGGAGATGTGTTGTTGTACCCCCTGTCTACTGACCTGGGTCAGTGCAGACCTCCCCCCCACCCCCTGCTTTTCTCAACTAAAAACTGAATGTCAGTTCAGTTGGTTATCAGTTCAACCTACACAGCTTACAGGATGCTGCCTAGTTTCAACTGATTCAGCCTCAGGCTTTTTGACTGTCTGAGAAGTATGCCAGTGGGGAATGAAGAGGACTGACTTCTGGACTAAGTACACTCTCCTAGGTCTTAGGAGATCTACTGGAAGGAAACTTAAATGTCCCATTATGTGCTTCTCCCTCCCTACAATGAATGACTTTGCTCTCCTTATCACCCACCTTTCACATCTTCATTCCTCCAGCGAAGGCTCTGTGCATCATAGCAGAAGCACAAAAGTAGGAATCCACGTAGGAAGGGAGACAAACTCTCTATGTCTTATTAATGTTTACTAAGTATTTAGCAAATACAAACATCATCTTGTTGAAGGTAAGCTGAAGGTCACATATTAATTGAACACTCAAATATTTGTGTTTTCAGTTTGAAGTGCGTAGTTACACTATTCAACCTAGCTTAGCTCTACCCTCATGGGAGTGACCTGGGATAATAATGGCACCCAGAGCATATGTATAGCATCAAAGCACCATACTGACAGTGCAGTAGTGGTACAACAACATGGTCACCTTGCACGTGCTATGCTCTGAGATGAATGTAACATTGGTGTCTTACTTCAGTGCTGGGTACAAAACAATTTGCTTGCCTGCTTGAGAGTCTTCACTGGCGTCACACTAAGATGGCTACTTTTAATTTCTTCTGGGCTAGATCATTCTGTTTTCAGAATTATTCTGGGGGGTATAATTTGTTTCACTTTTTAAAAAAATCTAATTACTGTCTAATGTAAAATATCAGAAGGCGTGACCAAAATCTAGGGTTTTCTTCTCCCACCAAAGTGTCCTAGCTGTGGCTACACAATTAGGCCCCCTTCTTGCTTCATTTCCTTCTGGCATTATGGCTCTTGCATTCCAGGTTTCACCATAGCCAAGCTTCAACAAGAGGAGTGGAAGGTGCTTCTCCAACTGTAAGTTAGTGGTTAGAGCACTCACCTGGGAAGTAGGAGACAAAGTGAGAACCACTCAGTCTGCAGGTTTCCCACCTCTTTGGTAAGTGCTCCAACCACTAAGCTAGGAGATGGGCATCAATTCTTCCTCTGCCAGCTCTGTTTCTGAGTGAAAGTGACTGTGGATGCTGCTTTGTATACCGAACTCAGTCCTCTGAATGTTGATTATGTGTGGTCTGAGCACTTCTAATAGAGCAGCCTCCTCCAAGAACCTGGGCAAGTTTATACACCCCTCCACTTTGTAACTAAATCACAACACAGCTGAGGCAGGAGCTAAGTATCTACCTGCTCAGAATGAGATATTACCACACATGTGTAGAAGCTTAAGTTTAGGTACCAAAACAAAGGTACCAAAGAAGGTACCAAGGATGAGATGTTAGTGAACTTAGGCACCTAAATATAATTCTATTGCACCCTGTTCAAGTCTCTGAAATTTCATTAATGAATTTACTTTTGCAATATGCTTTCATCTGATCCTTAAGTCTGGGTCACAAAATGAAGTGAGCAGGAGGAGGAGTGGGACAACTCACCCACCCTTTATATTAATTGTTTTTCAGTGGAGTACGTCTCAAATTAATTTAAAGTACAAAAAGGTTTGGTGGGTGTTAGAGTAGGGACATTACAGTTTATAGATTTATCTCATGAGAAAAACTGATTTCCCAGCTCTCCTTTTCCCTGCACACAAGGCCCCTGCTTCCTAAGGCTTCCCAAGGCTGGAGTAGGGGTATTCCATGTCACTTTTTGCAACTCAGTTGCCTAAATTCCATTAATTGGATACTTAGATTAACAATCTAGATTTTATCTAAATCAAATTATTTGAAAGACTCTTGTACTTGTAATCTCAGGTCAAGGTACCTCCAAACTTCCTGCTGTCTTCTTCAGTGCTACTTAATATTAACTAATATTGATCTTTGGGAAGCATTATTCAAGTGGCAACATTTGCTCAATTCTCATGTTCTACCCCCTCCCCATTGCTTAAACTCCTCTCATCACTATCTTTTCCGATGAAATTAAGAGCTTAATTGAAGGAGAAATGTGGACAGAATTGCTCAGCCTCTTACAGAAATTGCTGCAACACTTACTTTTAAAAACGTGGATGTACTACCAACTGCCTTTGAGACTAGAAGGTGGTTGTAATTTCTTCTGAAGCAGGAGTGTTTAGTTTAAAAACAGTCTTAAAATTACACAGTGTGCAGAAGAAAAAAAACAGTTTTGTTAGTTTTAG